CAACCCTGAGCCGGTGAGATTTGAACAGCCGAACTGCAGCCAGCTGAAGTGGCCTGCAGTGCTGCATTTAACCACTGCGGCTCAATGGGCGCAAACTATCCCGTGGCCCACATGTGGGTTTAAAGATGTCACTTTTGGGACTTATTCATTCATTTATTTGCCGATATGGGCCTTAAGGTTGCTAAATTCATGGAGATAAGGAAAACTTTGGTTCCTTCACCAAGGGCCGTCCCTCCTTGGCGGCTTTAAGACGTGTGGACTTCAAGTCCACAGGTTTTAAAGTTGTTAAGGTTGGATACTCCTGGCTTAAGAGTTGAGGTGGCGCAGTGGTTAGAGCAGAGTACTGCAGGCTACTTCAGCTGACTGCAGTTTGACAGTTCGAATCTCACCAGGATCAAGGTTGACTCAGCCTTCCATCCTTCTGAGGTGGGGAAAATGAGGACCCAGATTGTTGGGAGGGGGGGGTAAAGGCTGACTCTGTAAAACCGCTTAGAGAGGGCTGTGAAGCACTAACAAGCGGTATATAAGTCTAAGTGCTAACGCCCTTCCTTCCTCCCTGTTAGAGGCTAATTCTGCCGACTGTCAGCAGTTCGATCCTGACTGTCTCAAGGTTGACTCAGCCTTCCGTCCTTCCGAGGTCTGTAAATGAGGGCCCGGATTGTTGGGGGCAAAAGGTTGACTCTGTAAACTGCTTAGAGAGGGCTGTGAAAGCACTGTAAAGCAGTCCAAGTGCTATTGCTAGGGCTGTTACACTTCCAGCTCTTCACAAGTTGACAAATTGCTTTTCCATATAAGCCTAAGTCTTTCGATGATCCCCTAAAAGCAATCACTCCAGGCACAAAATCTCCAGGGAGTGAATGAGAGAGAGAGAGAGAGAAAGAAAGAGAGAGAGAGAGAGAGAGAGAGAGAGAAAGAGAGAACTCAGGGAAGATAAACAGAGGGGACGCTCTGCTGCTTAGGCCACTCACCTCTCATCAGGGAAGAGCTTGCTCCTCGCTTCAGAGGCCCCTGCAGGAGAACCATTGACGTCTGAGAAAATCGGAGACTGGGTTTTCAGCAACAAGGCCGTCTGCAACACAACACCAGACCAATGGGTCACAAGGCATGGGGGGG